TGTTGTTATATGCTTTATGTACTTGAATTTCCAGTAGAAAAACTAGTTAGAAAGCCAATAAAAGCTAAAGGAAATGACAGTTAAAGTGTCAATATACTCAAACTATCGTTGCCTCCTTATGGAAGGGGTGTGGAATTTCTAACGAGTGGGGAAGGTGTGGGCAGGGTGCATTTTGTACAGTAGTTGTTAACATATCCATGTCCCCCCCTAGAGGCGAATCAGAATTTCCAAGGGGTGGAGAGGATCTAAGGAGGGTATATTGAGTAGTTCCAAAAAATATTCATACCTCCCCGGCCTATGGAAGGGGGATTGCAATTTCCCAAGGTTGGGGAGCTAGGGTCTCAGGAGGGCATATTGTGTAGATTATCAATGGAGGAAAATTGCTTTACAGCCCTGAAATAGATGGTCGGTTATAATAAAGCCACATTCTTTATAGTAAAAGTTGATTTTCAAGGCATTAAAAACGTGTGAAATCTTCCTCCAAGTTTTAACCTCAATCCACGTTATTAACCCCATTATTAACCAACTCAAAATACGTCTTACGCTATTAAACATAAGTTATAAAGCCCTTCAAATTAAAAAAGATATTTGAAGCAAAGCTTGAAATCCTTTACGCGATCATTTGATACCATTCTGAGGTTAACTTTGGCAGATTTTCAAGCAGAGAAAAACGCTTACCTTTTGAGACCAATAAAAGTGTCCCTCCGAAAATTATACACACCACCAGCTTGCTAAAAGTATACGACATCCTTCGTCTCTTTACTTGCCAAGAATTGAGGCTTAAATTACGGTTAAAGTGAGTAAAAACGTCCTCTAAATCCCTTCCATACTTTGTAGTTGTCCAACGCTTCATAAATCAAATGCCTGAAGGCTGAAAGGATGTATGTTTTATATTGTCCTCCCACGAAGCCCTTGAAATGGCTAAATATCGATTTCACGCACCGCGTTGCGCAAATGCTAGATGTCGTGTGGTCGCGGAAATGATGTTCGGATTTAGCGGTATTCAGTTTTGGCAAGAGATAGAGCATATTTATGCTCTCTTGGTCTTGAGAAGTACGAGGGCACACTTGTAACGAAATGCCAGTTATAATTTGGCATCATTTTTGTTCGTGAAAATTGCGCTATTTAGAGATACAAATACCAAACTATACTCAGTAAGGCACAAATATCACAGGAGGAAGCCTTGAGCGAGTACAAATATCCTGCGATACCAGTACTCTAGGTTATTTTGTACATATTTAAAAAAAAAACCGGTTTCAAAGAAAAACTTAACCCTCATTTTGAAGCAGTAATGGTAAAAGGGTAAATTTTACACCGTGAAAAGATGAAAAACGTACTGACGTTTCGGACGCACTCCCTCGTCGGATTAAAAAAAGAGAGAAAAAAACTCATTTTGAAGCCTTTTTTAGGAAAAAAATGTAAGATTCGTTGGATAATAGAAAAAATAATCGAAAAAATATCCACCCGTAAAGAAAACTACACAATTCGTATAGGAAATCGCACGATCTTGAGTACAATTCGGAATTTATAGGTACGATTGAAGGCTTGAAAGTTTTCAATTTGAGAACTTTCAAAACATCACGAGTATCTATAAACTCCGAATTGTACGAGAAGATTGTGCGATTTTTTGTTTTTATAATACGCTCAACAAAATTTAGCACCGTAATTGGGCCTCTACAGTGTGCAATTTGGGATTGAATTGTGCTTCTCCCGTCTAATCGGGATCGAGTAATTTTGTAGAGTGTATTATAACACAAAGTGATTTTCATCCAGGCCCTTTCTCGATCGAATTTGAACTTAGAAGCTGATTAGATGCACCCTTAAGCCTGATTTTCACTAGCGACGGAAGCAGAAGCGGAAGCATAAGCTGAAGGGTGAAGCGTAAAACGTCTTATGTTCCTGTATGAATCAAAAAACGGAGACGTTAAGGCTGGTTTTCACTAGCAACATAAGCGACGGAAGCATAAACAAAAGCATAAGCATAAGATCGTTATGTTCTAGTGAAAATGAATGTGACTGAAGCACAAGAAAAACAATAGGAAGCCATTCCGTCCGCCATCTTGTTTCCCATGCAGGGTACTGAGTACGAGAATTTGATTGGCTCACCACCTTGTGCTTCTGTATGTTAGCGACGGAAGCATAAGAATCTGGTTTTCACTAGCGACGTAAGGACGGAAGCAGAAGCAGAAGCATAAAAGAAAAAGGAAACCTTCCGTTCCTTCTGCTTCTGCTTCCGTCGATGTTCTGCTTCTGCTTACGTCTCCGTTTTTTGATTTTCACAGGAACATAAGACGTCTTACACTTCTGATAATGCTTCCGCTTCCGCTTCCGCTTCCGCTTCCGCTTCCGCTTCCGTCGCTAGTGAAAACCAGGCCTAAAATGTACGAAGCATAGAGTGGCGGGGGCTACGTTTTAAAATAATTAGCCTTGGTGTTACACATATTGTTCCAACTATCAAAACATTTAATTGGGTTTTCAATATGCTTCTCATTAAAAAGCTTAAAGTCATATTAAAATATGCCCTGACAGCTGTACAGTCTATAATTTTTGCAATAGTTGCCCCCTCGGCATCCCATAATGTCTTAATTACAACAATAGAATTCAAGATGGCCGTCGTATTGATAAAAAGGCAAGAGATTATGAACTAGTTCATTTTCTGTTGTAAAAAAGGTCTATAGGCAACATTAGAAACGAGTGAAGGACTAGGAACGACTATATAGATGATTTAACAGATCAAAAACAGTTTACCGTGTTTGATACTCTGATCAAAACACGCGGGATGTTGGGAGAACACGAGAGGAGAGTAGGAAACCACGACGCGTAGCGGAGTGGTTTCCAGCTTCTCGAGTGTTCTCCCAACATCCCAAGTGTTTTGATCAGAGTATCAAACACAGAAAACTGTTTTTGATTTGTTTTATAAAATAACAAACGCGCGAAAAGATCGAAAAGATCGAAAAAAAGCAAAGTCTAAGTAAATTCTCCCTACGTGCCGTCTTATTCAAACTGACCAATGAGCGCGCGCGATAGATTAAAAATGACGATAGCGTGTTTTGATACTCTCATCAAACATGGTTTTCGACCAATCCTAGCGCGCGTAGTATCCCAATTATTTTATAAATTAATAATTAATCTTATTTTAAAATATGTCCATGACGAGAAAGAGCACATCAAAATTAACAGGTTTCTGTAGTTTTGCTTCGATTGGCTAAGTAATAGCTAAATTATAAGCAATCAAAAACATTACAAAGAAATGTATGTTTGCTAGGGACAAACGTCCCGAGTAACCTTACATTTTTTTGTAATTTTTGAGATATTTGAGAGGTTGCAACACGAAAAGTATAAAAACCCAAAATTCTGAAACTCCAGAAATTCACTAAGGCTGCTTTCATAATGTATGGCAGAGGGGGGCAGGTGAAAATTTGAAATGTGCAGAATAATTCTTAACACCCCCATTAAAGTTATGCAAAAAAATACGATCCCCCTAAGCAAGGCTTGTAGCTTCTTCCAAAAATTGTGCATCCCTCACATTTTTCTGAAAAAAATTTGCCCATCCCCCCTTTTTTCTACCAAAATGTTCCCGATCCCCCCTCAATTTCACCTGCCCTCCCCTGTCACGCATTATGAACGCAGCCTAATTTCGATGTCCTCTTTCTTGCTATGGTGTTTATTTTGTAACTAGGTTAAATCTAAAAACTCGTTTCTAGTCCTCAACTCGTTTCTAAAGTGTCCAATATTAACATTCAGGTTCTTCTGATGAATGGTGTTTCTTGGTGTACTTAGGGTTCGTTGGTCCATCCGTAACAGTAAACAGTTGATAAATGTTACCAAGGTCTGGTGGTTGGCGTGCAAATATCACTCGTATATCTGTGTGGAGGTAGATTTTGCCCGACTTGGAGCTGGCAAACCTACAAATGTAGAAGTAACAGATTTAGTTTATTATTATCATCATCATCATTATTATTATTATTATTATTATTATTATATAGATATTTTTGCTACATGAATACAGAATATTGCGGGTATGAATAGTCTAAGCAAATATCTGCATGACTGATTTTACAAAGATGTATACAAATTTAACAATTGTACAGACGTTTCACAATCTCACAGTTCTGTGAAATAACCTATTTCTGACACTTTCCTACAATTTTTAGTCCTTCAGTGAGGCCTATTATTATTATTATCATTATTGTTATTATTATTATTTTAATATTATCATTCAATATTTTAACAGGAACATCTAATTTAACACAAGTTAACTTAAATAGAGTCCTGTACAAAATAAATATAATTACTAAGTAAATAAACACTACATTAATTTAAAGAAAGAGTATTGCTTACTATCAATCACGTGACTTTTTGGAGYTGACTGGTGGGCAATTAATATGTAACTAGTGATTTTTAAGTCAAAACAGGTCAAAATAAATCCTCAAAGTATCCTAATATTTCTACGACCTTGAAGACCCTCCAAGCTTACGAATTTTAATTCGCCTTTTCGGCGTTAGCTTGAATTGTGTTACGGTCATCAAAATTTCGGACATTGTTCTCGGATTCCCATACGAATTCACTGACTTTAAAGAGAAAATTTAGGTAGATTTCTTTAGTTAGCTCTCTTAACAGCAGTAAGAAAAGCTTCAATCAAGCTAGAAAAATGATTTCTTACTTGTATTAGAGAACTAACTTACCAAATCAAGTAAATAGTTCATTTAAAGCCAAATTTGTACGGAAATTCCAGAATAATGTTCGAACGTTTTGGTGATCGTAACACAAGTCAAAACAATTTTATACCACGTGACGGCTTGCGCCGAAAAGATGAATTGCTCCCCAGTCAACACACAGATATTACCGGAAGTGACGTGCATTGATAGTAAAGCATACATGCTGTCACGTGACTTGGCCACTGATTGCTATAGAAACGCCCAAAACCTTACTGATTGAAGGAAATGAGTAAGGAAGTAAGGAAGCAGTGTTACAAAAGAAAAATATGGTAAGAAAAATACGGATACTTCCAGTTTCGAGTTCTCTGTTGCTCAAGGTTAGCCTCGATTTTGTGTAGAATTTTCATGTGTACCAGGAAAGGTCCGTGGAATTTTAAAGTGTTCGCCAGTATTGTTGAAGTTGTGCATTCTTTACTTGATCGTTGATATTTTTGGATATTTTGATACTAAAACGAGGCTAACCCTGAGTAACCCGCTGTTTACTGAAGAAAAAAAWTTTTCTGTACCTTAAGTGAAGCAAATAATGTAGATTCTGTTGGACCTTCAAATGAATGAAAAGAAATACCGTTATCTATCATGCATCATCATTTATTCATTTTTGTCAATTCTGATATTTTATGGAAAAAGCAAAAATCTTTTCTATTTCAGACTATGTGTCACATCTATGGTGCAACGCGGTCGACATATTCTCATCTATGGTGCAATGTTTTCCCCATATCAGACCATGTGTCATTCCCTTGAGGATTATTTCTTTCTTTACTAGGGATGCTTTTCAGCTATGGTGCAATGTTTTCCCATTTCAGACCATGTGTCATTCCCTTGAGGATTATTTCTTTCTTTACTAGGAATGCTTTTCAGCTATGGTGCAATGTTTTCCCCATATCAGACCATGTGGCATTCCCTTGAGTATTATTTCTTTCTTTACTAGGAATGCTTTTCAGCTATGGTGCAATGTTTTCCCTTTTCAGACCATATGTCATTTCCTTGAGCATTATATTTTTCTTTCCTAGCAATTGCTTTTCAGCTATAGCGCTATCTTTTCCTATTTCAGACCATGCGTCATTCCCTTGAGTATTATTTCTTTCTTCAGACTCATGTCTTACCTCGTTCTTTACTTCATTGCCTTTTAAAGCAGAATAGGTCTTTTGTCTGAGGAAGGTCTGAGATCTTGGTGGCATGTCCGAACAATCATACAACACTACGAACATCTTCACTACAGTCATGTTAGGATTAAATACTGTCTGTAGAGACAAGTAAGGAATGCGATCAGAACTTTTATTCAGGGTTGTGCGGCATATATGACATTTTGGCGTTTAGGGACAGTTCATCTTTTACGAGCATGGGAGGGGAGGGTGGGGAGGAGGTAAATGTGATCGATGTGCCGTCTTAATTCATCTTTCGTTGTATTCTCTTGTGGCGAGCTGTTAATCGTCGAAGTAGGCCAAAAAACCCCAGTATTTGTTAAACAAACGCAATATGATAGAACTCACCAATTGAATTGTTCCTTTCTTAGGCACGTGATATCCCCTTCGTCCAATAGGATCGTCCTTCAAACTGATATAGCCCTGCAAGAACGAGGTTTGCAAAATCAATTATAAAATGACGGTTACAAATCTCGCTTTCTTATATTTGTTGGCGGCTCATGCTTTATGACAGCTTCATTCATATCCAATAATAGAGTGATTTTCCGATAAACCCGTGAAATAAATGTTAGCATAAGAATCATTAATACAAACTAGTACGAGTTTTTATAAACTTAATGCATATTGTACATTTAAACAATATTTCATTACGATACATAATAACAGCTATTGTAATTCTTATTTCATAAAAGAATTTAAAAAAACTTTCTTGCTGGGCTGTGTGGAGTTTTAAAACACTTGGTGACTGGCAGAACACTAGAGAGTTTGAGTGTTGACCAGTGGCGGATCTAGGAGTAGTGCGAAGGGGTCCGCTGCACCCGTTTCCCCCCCCCCCTTTTTTTTTTTTCCTTTCGTTTTTTGTGAGGTATGAATTTTTGGATATCAAGAAAAATATCTTCTGTAGAATTTAATTAACAAGATTACAGAAGTTTTGGGTCGTGGCCTGTTGTCATAGCTTGTTTTGGCGTCGTACGTCGTACGAACAGCACTCATATAGTGAAAGCAAAGAAGTGGGAAAATCTGGACCCCGGTTTGAAAAATCCTGTATCCGCCACTGTTGATAAGCCCTCATTACATGTCGTGCTTCTCGAAACACTTCTCTCGTGTTCCACCAATCCCTGCGAGCTTTATAGTTGTACACGAAAGGCACGCACTTTTCTCACGGCATCAGTAAAGCAAATTCTTTAGCAATTGAACCGGTTAAGCTGGTTATATATGCCTTCCTATCTTACCATATAAGGGGATGGTGCGTCATCATCTGAGAGCCTATAAAAACAAGAGATGATTGGAAGCTTGACATGACGTGGGCAAAATGATCCACTTGTACTAAGCTCCGCTACAAATCCCTGAAGACAAAGAAACACTGATGTCTTTAGCTTCGGCTTATAAATGTTTTCCTATTCTCCCTAACTGTGCAGACTGACCAATCAGATAACAGTCAATTAGAGAGAGATTGAACTGATAACAGTGTTAGCCAATCAGGTTATCACGTTCTCACGCTCTTATTATATTGATGTGCTATCTGATTGGCCGGTTAAAAAATATTGAACTCAATGTCCCAATATGATTGGTTAATCATACTAATCTATTATAGTAGTCCCAGTTGGAGTATCCGCACAGTAATAATTAATTAGCACGGAGCAGTATAAATTAACTTCATACACGTCTTGTTGTACTTATTGCGTAACATCGTTCGGAGCTTTTGATGCCGAATTTTGCCCCTTGCCCTCCCCCCCCCCCCCCCCCCCCCCCACCTCAGAACATTTCTAAGACGGCATTCTCTAACGGTGGAAGAAGGGACAAGAGTGCGTGACACTGTCAACCTTGTCTAGAGCAAAGTTACTTGCGTCACTTGCGCTTTCTAATCACCAAGAGGATGGAAGCTGTTTTTTAAAGACAGCATTCTCTAACGGTGGAAGAAAGGAAGAGATTGCGTGATAAATTTGAGCTTGTCTAGAACAAAGTTACTTGCGTTACACGAGTTTTCTAACAACCAAAAAAGATTTTTAAGACGGTATCCCCAAAGGGTGGAAAAACGTAAAAGTGTGGCGCTGTTCGCGCAGACCGTTGCGTGACGAGACCATGAGTGACTCACCTCTACAGTACCAACAGGTTCCATTCTCCCATTTAAAACAGATTCCTGAAAAAATTTAAAAAATTATTCCTAAAAAATTTTGTCACGCAACGAAACTCTTGACGAATTATAATCACGAACCTCGAAATTAACCAGAAGGCTTTGCGTTGTTGATGCAGGCGCACTTCTGCTTAGTAGTTTGGATAGTTCACGGTAGTCGACTTTGTTTGATAAACCGCTGGAAGGTATTAGAAGAAATATTACGTTTGCTATCGACCAATTTATTAGTATGAAAACTTCATCATTATCATCATGTATCATCATCATCACAACCATTCATTAACATGTATCCTCATCATGTATCATCATCATGTATCATCATCATCATCATGTATCATCACAACCATTCATTAACATGTATCCTCATCATGTATCATCATCATGTATCATCATCAT